AAGAATCCTCAAAAAAATAATGTGCATCTGGATTTTAGACCCTCTGACGATAGATTACTTCACACCTCCCTCTCAACACGCCTTATTACCTAAAATGTCAGGTCATTCCTGCCATCCTCATAATCTGGAGTTCGTTTCCAGTAGCAGAGGTGGTGATAACGCGGTAACTACAATATACTTCAGTCTAAAAAACGCCTTTGTAACGCTCCACTTAAGATGAATAAATGGTTAAATAATTTTATTTTGGACCATTAGGGGTCGAACCATAGCAAGAAAACACAAATTCAATAACTATGAAGTAAGTATTTTATGGATTCTTTATACCTGTTTTAAAATTCCAAAATTCATGCAAAAGTTTTTTTTAATTGCTATGACTGTATCCCCACGGGTCTTGAGTGAAAATTGTTAGTAATACTACAACGGAGCACGTAAGCTAGCTATCATACGTCCCCTCTATTTCTTTTATATACATTCACTACTTGTCGTTCATATCAACCTCAACTAAAATAATTGTATGCTGGACACCTAAAACTTGCATATGCAAATAGTGACCATACAGTAGCCAATATGCACAGGGGAATCTAAAGTGATCCTAGAAAAATTGGCTAATAGAGTAGTCAATGGAAGTTGCTATTCTCACCAAAAAGATGTTATGTCATGATTTTTCGCGCGCTAAAACTTCCCCATAATTTTTGAGGATAATAAAATGAAAAAATCCTAATCAATAAAAGATTTATGTCTTAGCTATACCAACTCTGCTGCCTTATCCCTCACGTTAAACAGATATCACCAAAAGTCGCTCGCCCGTGTGGATTCAAAAGTAAAATTTTCGCCTTCGATGTACTTAAAGCACAACTGCAAAACAGCGGATGTCAATCGCCCGACTTCCCATAAAAAAACTCCGCCCGTTTTAGTCAAATTGTTTCCGTCTATCGAGATTTATTCAATCTTTGCCCGCCGAGATCATGTTTCTGCGTATTTGGGAAACGCTAACTTTTTCCTTTGTCATGATTTTTTCCCGTGGTGCGTAGAATTAGATCTATACCCTCACATATACCCATGTCTCCTCAGTCCAGTGCGCATTAATTCGGTTATTTAACGAGCAACCGTGAACATTCAGTTAATCCTACTCCTGCGAAACCTGACTCGCTGCTCCCCCTACTCCCATACCTGCCTCTCACTCGAATCAGACAACGCCTTCGTCTGCCCCTAAATTATCATCCGTCCCGGGTAGCGTCCCTTACCTGCATGAAAGCATTCCTATAATGCATGAAAATCCGTATATATCAGTCGGACCAATAGCTTCCCCACTTCAACAGGGCCCTCCGCGTTCTTTATTTAAGTTATCTGGGGCATGACAGTGTGATCTAAAAACTGAATCTAACTCTGGCCCCAAAGAAAGGTAGCGTAACTCCGTTCAGTTGTATGCCGCTTCTCTTACATTTACTAACTCTTTACAGCTGAGTTTGTCTTTAAAACCCCGTATTTCCAGTTATATCTCCATGTACCCCCCAACATAGTTCAGGCTTCCCACAACTTTAGGCCAAGTGTCCTAACGTAAGTCCACCTAACTCCTTTGACTTCAATCCTAGACCTCGTTTTCCACCTTTTAATTCTTATAACTGTCTATCTTCGCCCGCTAGCTTCTACCTTCTCTCGAGACTTTCTCCTCCTCCTCCTCCTCCTCCTCCTCCTCCTCCTCCTTCGCTTCCGCCTCCGCCTCCCAAGTTTGACTGCCAAAAAGCATATCCCTGTTCTAACTCGCCTAGTATTCAAGCATCTGTGAACTACATCCCTACATCTTTATGGCCTCCCGTTCAGCCTTCTCTTGCTGACTCACTCGTACGTCAATAACTCTAGACTGACTTGTACTTATTCTCCAAGCATCATTAATTCACAGTTTGTATATCCACCTTCAAATGTTTTTTTTTTCTAAATACCGTCGACAATAGCCTTGTTGTTCGAAACACCTTAGATATTATATTATTGCGTGCCTGGTCTGCTTTAAACAATATGGCCAAAATCAGAGCCATTTTTCTCGCAATGACGCCCGATGTTATATTTAAAACAGAATCTTGGACCCATTATTTAATTCCTCGCTTTGTCCTTCTTATAGATGACTTCGATTTTTATCGTCAATACCGCACAATTATGCGTGGGGACGATCGTCTTCTTTATCTTAGATCTCACCTAAAGCACCCTCCCTATTACCAGGACGCCTCCTCATTCACGGGCAAATTCTGCGTTACATTTTTTTATTCTCTAGCTGCAAAGAAAGGCAATTTTTGGCTGTCTCTATCATCCCCAAAACTCTTAAGTCAGCGATGATTTAGGACTTTGTAAAATCTTTACATTAGTTTCGTAATCTGCTTTCGATGTAAAGATAATCCCTTGGGGATTTAAACCTTCCCGAAACAGACTGGGTTTCGAACATCTGCCCACTTAGATTCGGCTGTTAATTCAAAATTTTTATCAATTTTTTCACTAAACGCTTTGATACTGGATAGTCACCCCAGTTTTTCGAAACGTCAGTCATACAATTCCCTCGATCCAGTGAGCATTTCCCTTTCCTCAAAATGCCTACTCAGATCTCTTACGTTTTCATATAAGAGCTCAATTTTTGAACCCTCAGTGCTCCGTCCAGCACGCCGTTGGGACAAATCCGTCTTATGAACTGCATGAACACAAGCGCAACTGCACTTCGTCGCCGCCTTGACCAATTGACTCCTAAATGTGTCACCTATAAGCCGCCTGTGGATTCAACCTTGGCTAGAGGGACTTTAGCGTGACACGACAGAACAATGACTAGATTACCTCTACATGATTGCCTTTAAAGACTGCAGCGTTACAGCCTAGAAATTGCTCAGTCCAAATGATATTTCGTGGCAACTACTGATGAAGTATCGGAGATCATTGAGGAAACCATTCTCAACCATGTTCGGACGGGGTGTGACAAAAAGGACATAGAATGATCAGTGAAATTGGTCAAATTGAGACCAGTTCGCCTAGATCACTCGTCGGGCGACCTTGTCAGTCAGTCAGTCAATTTATTTGAGGAAAATAGGCTTACGCCTTTGAACTCCCTATTTGTACATAAAAAATCTATAAATTAGCAGAATGTGGAGAAATTACAGCAGTAAGTGTATGCAGGCATTGATTCACATATGACACTGGTCTCATGGCTAAAAAGTCACATAGTCCGCTTGATGCTGTAGCATATGTCTGTCAGGTCTACATTTCAATGTCGCCACAGATTCAGACGACAACCGTCTCGGGCAGATTATTCCACGGTTCCACGATACGGTTGGAGAAGAAATATTTTCTCACATTTAATCTACCCTGGGACACACTTAACTTGAAGGGGTGTCCCCGGAGGTTAGTTGTTGTGGCGAGTTGTCCGCAACCCTTCTTCTTAAAACCTGGTCAGCACAGAACTTGCAGTCCTGGGACGTGGAGCCACTTTCAACACAGCAAACGCTGCACCCCCAGAGTTCATTGCGACTTTTGAATATGTTCTTCAACTAGCAAAAACGTCAGAAGAGACGAAAGAGTTGATCCGCCACAAAACGTCTTCCTTGTTCATGCAACAAGGAAAGAGCAAAGCTCCCAGCAAAGAAAAACAGCAAACGGTAAAAACCAAAGAGCGGATAAAGACATAATCATCCTTTCGGCTGACAATGTTCTTCCCGCAGTAGCCCTTGATAAATCTGATTACCAGGAGAAAGATTTGAACCTTCTTGAAGATCCACAGTTCTATAAACTTTGTCCTACCAGTGAGATGAAAAATCTGCCTGGCAAAACTCAGAGCAAATGGGGAGATCTCAGATAGGGATTAGTTTCTTTTGAAATTCTCTAACTCTGTCACCGCGCGGTTTTACGGTCTGCCGAAGGTACACAAAGCGAGCATATCGCTTAGGCCCACCGTCTACCTAATTGGCACTCCTACATACGGTTTGGCAAAAGGGATGTTTGCTCGACTTAAGTTTCTGGAAGAAGGTTCGCCTACAACAGTGGCCTCTGCCAACATATGAAACTACAGCCAGATGAATCCATGGTATCGTTTGATGTCGTTTCACTCTTCACCCCATTCCACAATAACTAGCGACTGACGTTGTGGGACAACTCCTGGAAGAACGTTGCAACAAGAGAGACAATCCCCTGAGGACCGAACATCTCCTGAAGCTCTTACAGTATCGCCTAAAGACATATTTCACCTTTGATCTCTTCATACATTTGCGCACCAAAGACACCCCTATGGGCTCTCCCATTTCAGGGCTGATTGTTGAGGTGGTCCTTCAGCGAATAAAACACTCGGTGTTCACCAAGTATTAACCATAGTCCTGGGCACGTTACGTCGACGACACTTTCGCCATTGTCAACGAATCTGACGTGGAACACCTAAGAAAATTGCTGAACTCGGTGGGCCCGAATATCCAGGTTGCCATGGAAGCTGAAACAAACAGCAAACTTCCCTTCCTCGATGTCCAGGTGCGTGCGTGTGCAACTTGGCAATTACAAACTACCGTTTTCAGAAAAGCCACCAACACAAGATAAATACTACACGTCAACAGCAATCACCTCCTCTTGCTGGATACCAGTGTCGCAACACTCCGATTCGCCGCGAATCGGAGTGTAGCGACATTAAAAATAACTGCCTACTGATGAATTTCAGCAGGCATGTTTGTTTAAAATACTGCCGTCTGGTGCTTTTCCCTTTGCATGCGCGTCCGTCGTGTCATTCGGGGTATTGCTTGTGCTATTTGTGATACAATCACTAACCGCAATTTCTATTAGTATTATTCGTTGCAGAGGTGCCTGCCCCACTACGTGTCTATGTACGGTATTGGTAGTAACTTCCTGATGTCCGAATTAAGCGCATTGCTAAAAGTTGCTGAGTCATTGACGTTAATGGTACTAGCAGTATTTCAGTCAGCGTTACATATGCCATAAAAGTTAGTAATCTAGTCGTGGTAATGTCAGTGGTAGTATTCGAAGAAGTA